TATTTCCCTTTCATTACTTGTCTAATATACATTTTTACAGTAGGTAAATGGGAAAATATTTTGTTGATTTTAGTCCTTTTTTATGTGAGTGGAAATGCTATTTTCCCTTTTATCACTCCCTGTTGGCTCTATACCACTTCTGTGTGAGATTCTGGCTCCTTGCAAATGCTGGTCATGAGCTTGCCGCAGCTTCCTGGCCCTTGTTCTTGAAGCTGGTGGTGTGTTTTTCCTTTAGCGCAGCATCCACAGTCTAGCAGCTCATAGAGGACGGCCAGAGCAGTCAGCGACAGGACGGTAAGGATGAAAAGTAGAAGGATGATGAAACAGGCAATGTTCCAGCCATCATGGAATGGGTAGACTTCTTGGACCTGAAAGGAGACGCGGGATAGAGGGACTGCCTCAGGGAGACTACTTTGGTGAATTGTGGTGGTGATGTTGGCCATGTTTTCTGGTTAGAGACAAAAGCATCACAGAGAGACACTGTTGAGAAATTCAGGGCGTCTTTTTTTAGTTTTTAAAAAATTTTTTAAAGAAAGCATTTTGGTGATAAACAATATTGTAATATAAGGTCTAAATGATTTTACTTTTCTGTAAAGGAAAGGAAAAATGCACTCCTTAAAGGTATGAAACACTTTTTTGTCATTTAAAAATGATTTGTTAATAAGCTCATGACTATGATGGAGCAAGAGATCATATAAACCAAACATATTTTCTACAACATGGCAGAGCAAGAATTTAAGCTGATAACAGGAAGGTAAAGATGTTCTTAGCTAATGTCAGGAAACGGAAATCTTATGCCAGAGGCCAGAATCTTTTTTGTCTGCGAGTGGGTCTAGCCTCCATCAATGCCCAAGGCCCTAGAACTGGCGGGCCAATCACAACGCAGAGATGTGTTTTGAATGTCTGGATGCAAAGTAGGCGGGGTTTTGAGGGCAGGACGACTAAGCTGCGTGACGCTCGAGAAGCACAACAAGGAAGATGGCAACAACTATTGAACAGTTCTCGTTTGACTCAGCTTTGGAATCAGTTTTTGGAAGGATTAGACTTGGGGTTTTGGTTGAAACGTGAGCAGGGTGAGGTTCTAGGCTCATTCATTTTTAAGAAGGACGTATTCGCTGTTTTACCGACAAGCTGTTCCTTTACACTCCCCCACCAGCTTTCTGTTGCGCTTACTACGTCACAGTCGGTTGCGCTCATTGGTCAGAGCGTTGGCCAATACGCACAGACATGGTTTGAAAGACAACGGTTGTTCTCATCAACAATCTTCCGATGTCTCATTCATCTGGGTCAGACTAAATTAGACATTTTTGATTTCACATTTAGTCAGGTTTATCAGGCTACACTAGGGTTGTATTAGAGGATTATGTAATGTTGATAAATACCAGTAAACATTACAATGATGAAATTGTGATCTATGCCTGTTTTTTTTTCTTGTGTGATTTTTGTGTCTAGAATTTTAAACTTTTATTTATTTGAGTCTTTATTTTTAATCTATACAATGATGGGTTGCTTTTCTTTAAGCAGAGTTTGCATTTAAGGAACTCTGAGATGTATTTGTTTAATATCTTGTTATATAGCCACGTGGTCAGACAGTCTGTCTCTCCTCAGTTGTTCTTTCTGCCAACCCCTACCACTCTAAATCCACACTGACCAGTGCATGCATACATGAGTGTGCATACTCCTGCTACTGCCACACACACAGCAGCAGAGAGAAAGAGGTGGCTGACCCAGTTTACTTAGAAATGGGGAAAACCTGCATTGAGGAGCTGAAGTGCTTCCTTTTTTACCAGTTTTCTTGCATTTAGAATTACTGTCCATTTCTTTTTAGAGCTTACAACTATAACTGAAGTTTCACCTAAAATTCTTGTTTTAATGTTGAAAAAGCATCCTAACCTAGCTTAGGAACAAATCTTGTAGCCTCTTGTTACGTCAAACTCTCACTACCGTTCTCTTGAGGCTTTGCATTTTTGATTTGATAGCCGTGTTCAATAATTTAAACTCTACCACTTACTTACACCTCTCAGAATTATGTGGGCAGTTTGAAGTCTTGCCAACACCAAATTTTGGAGCTGCATTTTTATGGATTTTACAATGACAATTAGGGCTGGGTACTTTTTGCCAAAGTCCTGAATCGATTCGATTTTGATTAATTCTGTTCTAAATCGATTAATTTCGATTCGATCAGTTTTTACAATAATGAAAGTGGTTCAACTGTGTTTCAAAATACTCATGTATTTTATCTTTTCCTGTTACATTAAACGCAAAGTGCAAACTTGTTTGTGAAGAGTGAAAAAGCCTCACATGAGCAAGCAGATATGACACAGCAGGGACACAGCAGACATGCATGAGCTGCATCATCTCCTCTGCACAAACCATATTTGCAGTGTTGTCTTTAAACAACTACAGGGTGTTTGCTGGTCAGCACCCATTTGTTAATGACTTCAGTCAACCTATTGGCTATATTTGCAGCTGTCTAGCATCCTGAGCGCATCTTCCTGCTCATTTGAATGTGAACGTCACCGCGTCACTATAAAACTAATCGATCTCATTCCCTAGACATCAATTTTGAAAAATTTAAAGGAATCGATTTTTTATTTTTATTTTTTATCCAGCCCTAATGACAATATTACTTGTGATAAACAAATATATAAAAAGTGTTATGCCTTTCTGCTTTAGTTTTGTAGTAAGCATAGGCCTCATATAGTAACATCCGTCCGTCCAATCAGCTATTTAACTTTGCTGGGTAGCTGGGCCCATGAATCTACAGCTCCCACTGGGCTTTAGAAGGGCTACACCATGGACAGGTTGTTGGTCAATCAGAACACAGAGAGACAGACAATACAACCAACCACCCAAACACTATCATACCTAAGAACAATTTTAGAGTAACAGATTAATCTGATGGTCAAAAAACTGGGTCTTGCTTAAAACCTCCCACTAGCCACCTGCTTTTAAAACACTCAAACTATCAGTAGTTATTTGACTCTACAAGCTTTGCAAAACGCATTCATGAAAATATGCTATAGGCATAGAGAACCTGATTGGAAGGTTGTTAAATTATTTTCTAACATTTTTTTGCAATCCAGGCAGTTCTTTGGGAAATGCAAATAACTTTAAGTGACACATTGTCACACTAAGTTTGCAAGATACTTTGAAGCCCTGCTAATTTTGTCTAATTTATTTTTGAAGAACTGCATACAATGAGCAGTATTTGTGTTTGGTAGCAGTGACACAAGCACACATACATTTTCTGGAAAAAGATAGGTTAAATAACTTTTTTGTGTCATTTTAGTTGTTATAGTAGTGTATTCCACAAAGTATGTTGTTGAAATGCTTAAATTTATTGCCCATAATCAATATAATACATAATTAAAGCCTTTATTTTGAGATGTTTTCTGTGATGACAGCAGGAGGTCCCAATTTAGTTCATGCAGTTAGTTTATAATCCGTGTTTACCATAAACTTATTAGACAAAATCAATTACCCTCCCTTATTTTATTGCCATGGCAACAACCTCACTGACTCATAATTGCTGCCTGACCTCCTCCAACCCCCATGTTTCCTGCTTGATATTTTCTGCGTTTCCCGTTTGCGTTAAGGGACAGTTTGCTCCCTGTAGCATCTGTTCCCCACCCCCTTTACAAGAGCCCCACCCAGCCGTGCTTCTTGGACCAAGAAATGCTCTTAAAAAATTGTCCGCCACGCAGAACGAACGCACAATCCTGATAGTGCTTCCCTGGCTCTCGATTCGCATATTTTAACCGCTGTGTGGTTTGCCGCGTTTTGCACTGAGATGTGCATTCTGACAGACGCAGACATGATGCCCATGAACGCCTGCGCAGACACAAATACTCAGAGGCTTGTTATTCAACCAGAGAAGAGTGCAGACAGATTGGTCCATGTTTATTTAATCATGCGTGTTTTTGTGTCCAAGTAGGTTTAGCTTTGCTTTTGCATCAAACAGCTAAGGGTTTTATAACGGATGCTTAGTTTTATTTAAGGATGTTTTGGCTTTGATTGATGTCAAGCAAAAGAAATGAAGTTGCAAATATTATTTTGCTGATTTCAGTGTTTATGATTCAGCAGCAAAATGCAGTAAAACAGCTAGCATTATTCCTGAAATGAAACCAACAGCAGTTTGTATTTTTAAATCAAACTGGGCTTGAGATGGATTTATATCGTACACATTCTTACGATCCAGACTCTATCTGTAAAAACTCACCTGTGCGTCTGGCTCAGCTTCTCAAAGATGCTGGATAAGAGATGTGCTCTCCTGCTTTCAGTTTCTCCCCCTGTCTCCTGTTTTTTTGTTTTTTCTTCCTCCAATTCACTCATCCACCTGCTCTCCTCAGCACACTCATGCACATTCAGCCGTGGCTCGTGCACCCGCTCTTCTCCTCCGCCACTCCTTGCAGCTCTTCATGCATCTCCTAAACAGATCAGGCTTGTCCCACGTCATTGGCTCGTTCCTCCCACCCCTGCCCCAATGCCATTGGTTTGCCAAACTGTCAAAAAAACGTCCTGCCCACTATTCAGCTATCAACCACACAGGCTGCTGCCCACACTATGAATCATTAATGAATCGGTGTCTGTTGTCATCTGTGATTGGTGAGCAGTCTGTTCAGACCAATTGGGTGGGGGTGGATGGCATGACTGCACTAAAGGAGAGAATAGACTTGAGTTTATAGGATTCCCATTAGATTTTCCTTACTTCGTTGTATTTTGTTAAATATAGGGCTTATCCTGCCAAAAGTTGCATTCCTTACATCCTTTATTTTTTGTACTAATATTATAAATATATGTGCAGGTTTTTGTAGTTTGGATAGTGAGTTATTTAAAGACAATGTATGTACATCATCCTTTAAATTGTACCCAAAAAATAATAAATCCAGGCATTTTTAGCAGAAAGATCTTTCCGTGCATCAGTTTTTCAGTCCGTTGCTTTTATTAAGTTTGCTCTGTTAAAGAAAAAAGATCTTGATCACAATTAATTTTTCTTAATATTTAATCAGTATTTATCACGATTAATTAGGTCTGAATGCACTTATTTTATGTGATTTTTTTTCATTTTTTTCTGGTTGGATAATTTTCTGAATTGGGTGATTTAACAATGGTTTCCGTCCACTTTACAAATTGTTTTGTATTTCAAAATAAAAATCTAAATTCTTACTTGTTGGAACAGAGGGTTACAGAAATCTGCTAGGATGTTCAAACAAGGCTTCATTTAAGCGTAGCTTCATTACTTGTATCAGAATATTGATTCAATACCAATTTCTCTAAATTTTGGCTAAAACATTGCATCGCTTTAATTTTTACACATTTTTTGTTGTTTTTTACCATCTTGCTGTTCGTACATCTTCCTGCTGCCCAAATACTATATTATTGATTTCAACTATTTTTCTCTTCCTCAGAATCTGCAAATGGAAACATCAACATCAAGGCAAGCTCTGGGTACAAGTTCGGCTGCCTGGCCAAGATTGTCAACTACATGAAGGTGACCATATGGAGATTTGAATATTTTTGTATTTAAAAACTGCTTTCCTGTAATCCCATATCTACATAATCTACCCTTACCACTATTATTTTTTACAGCCTATGGTCATCTCCTACACAGCTTCTTAAAAAGCTGATTTTCTGTGTTATGGCATCAGCCAGATGAGTCAGACTTGCCCACTGTGTAACATTTGCTCTCTAGCTTCTTTGGGTACATAAACAGCTTGTTTATCAGGCTGCAGCCCTGCTGAAATATAGTGACCCTCTGTCAACAAGCTTTGTGACTCATCTTTTTTGCTGAACTCGCACATCGCCTGACAGATTTCTTCGTATGTTTCTACTTTTATCCCTTCTGTTGGAGGCTGTGAGTTTTAAATAGTGTAAAACGGCCTGACATTTAAAGTACTAACTTGTAGAAGATGTGGCTGAATCCCTGTCCATGGTTTGGTTAAATGATAAATAAATCAAAAATTTGTTCGCAGGTGTTAATCTTCTTAATTGTTAACTTTGTCTGATTTTGTCCCTTTCACAGACGAGGCATCAAAATGGTGACACACACTTTCTGACCCTCGACGAGATCCTGGATGAGACCAAACTTCTTGACATCAGTATGAAACAGAAACAATGGCTGATGACAGAGGTGTGCTCCTGTCATGATCAGGGTTGCTCTATTTTTATCACCTCAACAGGAAATAATTTCTATCCTTTCATCTTGAGGAGGGGTTATAAAAATCCTCAGGTTTACCCAATTTGTCATTCGAAACAGACTTGGGAGTAGATTGTTTAAATGCTTGTCATATGGGATGTACAGCTCAGAGTAAGTCAGTCTGGGACATTTTTTTTCTCTTTTTCTACTTCATGCATTTGCAATTTTGTTTTTATGAACTTTGTTTATAAGGTTTTCTTATAAGTAATCCTTATTAAAAGAAAACGAATAAGAGGAACATTTATTTCTGGGGAAAAAAATCTAGTCTACTGCAGATCTTAACAAAAATTGACTTTAAAAATGCAATAATCACAATATTTGGCCAATTTTGGGGTTTTGTTTAGCTTTAACCTGTAAGTGAAGGCCAATGACAAACTGGCCCCTAAGCACCAACCATGAGCTCTAACCCTCGAGTTGCTCGTTCCCGCGGAGGGTCTGCCACGTTAAGTGCCATCCCAAACCATGTAGTGGGTAGGATAAGTGGCCCATTCAGCCCTTAGATTGTGATTCAGCATCAGTTGCAGGCTTGCTGGGATTTGGCAGCAGGTAATAACGGCACCCTAATGTCGAAGGAAACACCTTCATCCAAATGCAATGTATATTGTCTTGCAAACCGAACAGACCTCGGCGGCACGCTATGATGTAATCTGCCTACAAATCTGGCCTTTGGAGGACGCAGTCCATGAATTTGAACTCTGTGTCTGTCCTCCTTGTGTCGGGTATTGCCCTGCCACTACACACCTGCCTTAGATAAAACAGTGATTAGCAGGGCTTTGCACCCTGTGGTGGTTGCTGAGGTGGTAATGCTATCATTTGATGCAGGTGTGCTGGACCAGAGACGCATCTAAAACATGCAGGACAGTGGACTCTGGGAACCGATTATGAAAACCACTGAAAAATAGGAAACTAATGAAAGAAACTTGGAGACATTTTTTGGCCACTTAAATACTCCAAAATGCTCAAATGCGACCTGTATCTGATCTTTTCATGGCAGTCTGAACAACACAGATCCATTTTTTTCCAATGCGACCCAGGCCACTTGGCTATGTGGTCCTGAATCAAATCTGATCTTTTCAAATGCGACCTTTTTCTTAACGGCCAGGTCACATTCACCCGACCTGAACGCCATTATTACCTGACAAAGGTCACTATTCTGGGTCTTGCTATGAAGAAATGCCAAGAAAAACAACAACCATGGCAGATGATGATGCAGAGAGCAGTATTTATGTTAAACCATCTTGAAAAGATTGTGTTATTATGGTTGGGAAAGATCGCTAGATGCGCTCCGGCACTACCATCCATGTTTACTTTCGTAAACACAGAGCAAGCTGGCCTGTGACGTCAGTGCGTCCTCTACAGCTCATGCGTGACACTTGCCTTGTATGACCACAGTTCACACAGGAGATCACATACAAGTCGCATAGATTTGGAAATGTGAACGGCAACGCAAAAAAAATGGATTTCACAAAAAAATCGGAATTGAGCATGAAGGCCTGCAGTGTGAACGTAGCCAATATTTCCCATCAGCCATTCACTGTTGAGGCCTAATGCAGCAGAAAATCTTCCAATTCCCATAATCAGGCAACTCCTTTTCACATGTTATAAAATAATTTATTTTCTGAAAACAATAGCCAGCTAAATTATAAATATTAGAACATAAAATCCTCAAACTGGGAAGTACAAAATAATAAGAAAATACTTATACTATCCATGTACATCAAGTTCCATCTTTCTTTTCCATTAGATTTGGGGGCTGCTATCGCTGTAAAAAGTTGGACTTGTTTTTATTAGTCTTCTACAAATAAAAGAAAAGTTCTGGCTAATTGGAAATAAAATGTATATAGTACTGTAAGCATCATCTCTGGTGGTGCAACAGAAAGAAGCCATTTAGAGGCATGGAGCAAAACATGTAAAAATCAAAATGTTTGTATGGGTATTTCCTTCATTTTTAAATAACATTCAAATACATGGTATCTCCAAACTACATTTATATTAAATGTAAGATTAAATTAATGTTTGCGCCACATTTTTACATTTAATCTGTTCTGTTTTTATCCCTAAAACCCAGGCCTTGGTAAGCAACCCAAAAATTGAGGTTCGTGATGGAACGTATGGTTTTAAGCCAAAATACAACCTGAAGGACAAGAAAGCCCTACTGAGGCTGCTGGACAAACATGACCAGCTGGGCCTGGGAGGAGTTCTGCTGGATGATGTAGAGGAGGGACTCCCTAATTCAGCCAAGGCTATCAAGGTGATTCGGAGAGGATTTCATTTACAGAACTGCAAGACTGTCTTCAAAAAATGTTTCTCATATTTTTTTATGTTTAATGTGAAAAACTTTCCTGTGATTTTTATATTTAAAACCAACATAAAAAGGGAATCGGAGGCAAAAAAAAATGCATGATTTTAAAATTCTCTTACAAATAAAAGTAGACCAAATGCTGTGGATTGGTTTTAATCTTCCTTACTCTGATACCCCTAAATAAAACTCGCTTCCTTATGAATTCATCTAAAAAATATAGAATATAATCCTAATGACCCAAGATGTTTCTTAAAAATGTGTCAATAAACCGCTAATATAATTATAAAGAAAGACGCCACATGACAAGAGTTTAATACTTTAGCAAGGCCCTATATGATGTTTTGCAAATTGAATGATAAAAAAACCACAGTTGAAGTTTTAAACGACCCTTTCTGTGTCGCCCACAGGCTTTGGGGGATCAGATCGTCTTCGTAACAAGACCAGACAAGAAAAAGATCCTGTTCTACAATGACAAGCATTGCCAGTTTGTGGTAGATGAAGGTAAAAAAAAAAAAACAATACATACCACCAGCATATATAGCAACGGGCTTGGTTTGGTGTGAAATTGTATTTGAATGAACACCTTTTCTTTCAGACAATCCAGTTTAAAACTACAAATGTGACACATGTAATCACTATGCATAATTGTTTATAATTTGGTACTTATCACTGAAAATGGGTATGAAAAAGGTGGAAACGTATTCAATCCTACTCCTTCACCTTAACATCAACAATCTTCCTGATTCCTGCTTTGTTATGAATCCATGCCAGAGTCCTGCACCAGATCACGTGTATAAAACGTACATCTACATGTAGGAAAAAAACCTGCATGTTATTTACAGAGTGCGGCCACAGGTATCATACAGAATTACAGCATTAATTTAACTTATATTTTCTTATTAATTCTACACTCTACAAATAAATTGATTAAAAAATATCCAGATTAGCTATATATATATATATATATATATATATATATATATATATATATATATATATATATAATTTTTTAAAGCAGCAAGGCAAACCTTATTAAGATCAATTTACAGATTTCAATTTCTGAGCATAGAACTCATGTTAGCATGAAGCAGTGTTCTTTTCTGCCTCTGTTATGAACGGCTATGTGTTCACTTTGTCATCACGGGTCCGGTCATACCTTATTTATGGTCTCTGACAGGTTTTAAATGGGGATAATTGCAGATAACGGGACTTGGTTCTGAACTTGAATGGATGCGTGTGGATTCAGTTTTGAAAAATCAGACCCGTGCAGGACTCTAATCCATGCTGCTCCAAAAATCTGTTTAGTAAGCAAATAAAAAAGTTTATGTCCATATGTACATTTCACCTTTTCTAACTTAAAACTAAACCCTTTAATGTGAACATTTTGAGGTATTTATTTATCCTGTTACAGGCTTTGACTTCATACATTTTAACCTTTGTTGTTCCTCTTGGAATTGTAGAATTTCAGAAGCTGTGGAGGAGCGTACCAGTGGACTCCATAGATGAAGAGAAAATTGAGGAATACTTGAAAAAACAGGGCATCTCTTCCATGCAAGAGACTGGACCAAAGAAAGTGGTCAGCTTCTTTTATTTTTTTTTTTATTCATTTACTTCAGGAGCTGTAAACAAAACCGTTTTTAGTTGATTGTAAAACTTAAATATTCCCACTTTTATTTCAGGATTTGTCAACTGAAACAACCGTCCTGTTTATTCTGTTCTATTCTGATTTTTGGGTTCCCTGCAGATGCCAGTTCAAAAGAGAAAGAAGCAAAGCGGGCAGAGGAAGAGGCAATTTAAAACCCATAACAACCATCTGCAAGGAGTTTTGGAGGACTACTCGGATGGTGTGCCTTCTAAGAAGTGAAACGGCTCGCTGTGGTCGGAGGTGGCTGGAGATTAAGTTGCTGGCTGTATGATACAGACTTATTATTGCGGTTCAGTAAAAAAAAAAAAATCCTGTGTTACTTTACTTTCATTCCCTCTAAGGATCAGTAATCATTCATTACATGGAGCCAGTAGCAGCAGTGTTATGGAATGCCTCTGATTCACTGGTTAATCAAACGGGACTCTGAAGAGTTTTGAGATATGTAAGCACACTGAAGACTAACCAGCAGTGGGCACATCATCCATACAGATGAAATGTATATTGGTCAAAGATGTATCAATATTACTTTGATTTTATTTAGAGCAAAGAAGTGTTTTGAAAGGTGCAATTTGAGTAAGAGACATTTTGATTTTCCAAACCAGATGGGTGGAGGACAACACCGTCTCCTTTAGCATAAAATCATCTTCTGTTCTTGTGGAATTTCAAATTTCAATGCTTTTACTCTGAAAAGCTGCGGTATACTGATGAAAGAATAAGACTTTTGAACATATTTTAATAAATTTCCATTGTTACACAAAAATGTTTCAAATCTATTGCAGTGTTAAATCAATACATAGAGTACATCATTCAAAGCTGGTGGGGGAGAAAAAATGTCAGAGAAAAAGCTCAAATCTAGCAAGTTTACAAGAAGAAACGTTTGAAATCGAAAATATCAAAGGATGCTAATCGTCAATGGGTTTAATAACTGTACATTTTATTTATCTTCCAACAAATTGATTTAAATTAGTGTACCGATATATTTAACTGGTAGTGTGGCTTGGTTTGATGGTTTTCTTCAAATGGTGGTAATTCGGCAAAATCTTCATCAGGAAGTCGAGCTGGAGGGTCTGGGGCTGCAATGACAGTGAAAGCTTTCAGTGAGGTGCAGAAACAAGGTCCAACTCAATACAGCCCTGCACCAAGTTAACCATCCCATGAGTTAAAGGGTTCAGTTCTCCAGAGATGGCAGAATGAAATTAAAAACATGCTAATTCATTTAAACGTGTTTTATTAGCACAATGTTGTGGCTTTTTGAGAGCTTCACTTGAATTAACTCTGAACTTAACTGGGAAAAGTGAGATATGCGGTGCATTTAGGCAAAATTCACACTGCAGGCCTCAACGCTCAATTCCGACTTTCTTTTGCGAAATCAGATTGTTTTGCATGGTCGTTCACATTTCGAATTACCTGCGACTTTTATGTGATCTCCTGTGTGAACTACATTATTGGGCTGAAACAATCAGATTAATTGATTATTGAAATAATCGTCCACTAATGTAGTAATCGAACAATCGTTAACCGGAGTACAGAGACTAAAACACACCTTTAGCTGAAAGAGCAAATCACTTAGAGCAAAAATTAAATCAAAATTGTAAAATACATGTAAAAATTTTGCATTTAAGAAAAAAAAAAATTGCTTGATCCAGAACTCCTCAAGTGGAATAGTTTTATTTTTACCTGGTTTAAAATTATAAATCGTGTAACATTTGGCTTTCTGATCATTTTTGGATTTAAAAAATTGACAGATGAGTCAATTGGAAAAATTATCTTTAGTCACAGCCCTACTGCATTCACACAACCTAAGTGTTCTGATGTGCAGTAGAGGACGCAGTCACATCACAAGCGAGTGTGTTCTGTCTTTACAGAAGTAAATATGGATGATGTTGCTGGAGCGCATCTAACGATCTTTCCCAACCTCAGGCAGTGTATTAACACAATCTTTTCAAGATAGTAAAAAATAAAGACTGCTCTCCGCATTATTGCCTGCCATGATTGTTTTTCTTCCTGCTTCTGCGTAGAAGGACGCAGAATAGTGACCTTTGTTGAGTATTAATGGCGTTCAGGGCGGATGAATGCGGTCGCACATAAAAACATTAGATACATATTGGATTCAGAACCACAAAGCCCAGTGGCCTGGGTCGTATTAGAAAAACTATGTGTTCAGACTGTCATAGGTTAGATACAGGTCACATACAGGTGCTGGTCATAAAATTAGAATATCATGAAAAAGTAGATTGATTTCAGTAATTCCATTTAAAAAGTGAAACTTGTATATTATATTCATACATTACATACAAACTCATTTCAGATGTTTATTTTGTTTAATTTTGATGATTACAAATGACAACAAATGAAAATCTCAAATTCATCATATCAGAAAATTAGAATATTACTGAAGACCAATAAAAACAAAGGATTTATAGAAATGTTGGCCAACTGAAAAGTATGAACATGAAAAGTATGAGCATGTACAGCACTCAGTATTTAGTTGGGCCTCCTTTGGCCTGTATTACTGCAGCAATGCGGCGTGGCATGGAGTCGATCAGTCTGTGGCACTGCTCAGGTGTTATGATAGCCCAGGTTGCTCTAATAGTGGCTTTTAGCTCTTCTGAATTGTTGGGTCTGGTGTATTGCATCTTCTTCTTCACAATACCCCATAGATTTTCTATGGGGTTAAGGTCAGGAGAGTTTGCTGGCCAATTAAGAACAGGGATACCATGGTCCTTCAACCAGGTACTGGTAGCTTTGGCACTGTGTGCAGGTGCCAAGTCCTGTTGGAAAATGAAATCTGCATCTCCAAAAAGTTGGTCAGCTGCAGGAAGCATGAAGTGCTCTAAAACTTCCTGGTATGTGGCTGCGTTGACCCTGGACCTCAGAAAACACAATGGACCAACACCAGCAGATGACATGGCACCCCAAACCATCACTGACTGTGGAAACTTTACACTGGACTTCAAGCAACGTGGATGAAGTGCCTCTCTTCGTTTCCTCCAGACTCTGGGACCTTGATTTCCAAAGGAAATGCAAAATTTACTTTCATCAGAGAACATGACTTTGGACCACTCACCAGCAGTCCAGTCCTGTTTCTCTTTAGCCCAGGCAAGACGCTTCTGACGCTGTCTGTGGTTCAAGAGTGGCTTGACACAAGGAATGCGACAGCAGAAACCCATGTCTTTCATACGTCTGTGTGTGGTGGTTCTTGAAGCACTCACTCCAGCTGCAGTCCACTCTTTGTGAATCTCCCCACATTTTTGAATGGGTTTTGTTTCACAATCCTCTCCAGGGTGCGGTTATCTCTCTTGCTTGTACACTTTTTTCGACCACATCTTTTCCTTCCCTTCGCCTCTCTATTAATGTGCTTGGACACTGAGCTCTGTGAACAGCCAGCCTCTTTAGCGATGACCTTTTGTGTCTTGCCCTCCTTGTGCAAGGTGTCGATGGTCGTCTTTTGGACAACTGTCAAGTCAGCAGTCTTCCCCATGATTGTGTAGCCTATAGAACTAGACTGAAAGACCATTTAAAGGCTTTTGCAGGTGGTTTGAGTTAATTAGCTGATTAGAGTGTGGCACCAGGGGCCATCAATTTTGAACCTTTTCACAATATTCTAATTTTCTGATATGATGAATTTGAGATTTTCATTTGTTGTCATTTGTAATCATCAAAATTAAACAAAATAAACATCTGAAATATATGAGTTTGTATGTAATGTATGAATATAATATACAAGTTTCACTTTTTAAATGGAATTACTGAAATCAATCTACTTTTTCATGATATTCTAATTTTATGACCAGCACCTGTATGTGCAAAGAAATCGGGTTTTGGTCACTTCAGTCTGCAGTGTGAACTTAGCCTTAGATGTAATCCTGGGTTTTATTGTGACCTCCTGAATGGGTTATCAAAGCACTCTTGGAAAATTGTTAGTATGTCCTCCATTCCTCAGAGGGTTTTCCCCCATTAGGACCATTTTCACTTTGGTTCCAAATGCTTTATTATGCTATCAGACTAATTCATCTTTAAAACCTTGTTTCATTGTGGTTCAATAGATCAGGATGTAATCAGACCTGGCTGAGGTTAATGAAAATGAAGCTAATTATGATTAAAAAAGGGAGGCCATTATACATCTCACATCGAAGCTAGCTTGGATTGACATCTTCTAATAGCGAGTATCATAGACATTATCTTTCATTTGAAAAAATGATCTCATCCTCACAAAAGAAGATAATGGCACTCCATGCATCCAGAGAAAACTCTCTGGCATCTCTTTTTAACACTGTAGTAATTGTTTTTGGAACTTTGATACACTTTCACACTGGTAACAAACCCAGCCCCAAGGCCATTTTTTAAAACCCTGATCACATGGCTCTGTAAAAAAAAAAAAAAAAGAAAATCAGTAATTATGGTGATTCATCTTTGCTTCTTTGGTTGTAAATCCCACTTACTGTTAAATTACAACCAGCATCCGATAATAGAAGAAAAATATAGTCTCATATTTTTCCCTCTACCTCTGAAAATTGAGGCCATTGTACATTTTGGTCTGGACTGTAGTTGAGTACACAAAATCCTTCAGCCAGGCAGGGATATTTAAGGGTAAGGATATTAAGTTATATATTTAGAATTGATTAATTAGCAGTCTACGAGCAGCGAGTTTTCACTGAGATTAATCGATTAATTTATCCTACTGCAATACCCCCTCCCAACAGAAGAATGATCATTCTCCATACTTTTATATTTTTTGGTATATTTCTCTATATCCCAGATGTGTTAAACCATGTTTATCTGTACCTGTGGTCTCTCAGTCTGAACCCTCCTCATACATCCGGAGCCAAAGATGACTGTGTTCTCAGGTATGACCTCACAGGTGTTGACCTGACAGAAGGCTCCAATGATACAGCCACTGGTGAGGATCACGTTCCTGCCAACGTCGGCTAGATAGCAGAGGAAAATAATGAATACTAACTTCATTAGACATTTGTCCAAATCTTGAATCTGTTAGAACCCACCTTTAGATTCGATTACATTGTTATCACCAATTTTTAAAGCTTGTGATACTGATTTTGATAAGTTAAGGATAATTAAGTTTTCAGCATGTTCATAAAACACTATCAAAAAATTGTTTTATACAGAACAGGCAGGTTGAAGAAGGATACCGCAGCCCACTTCAAACACATTGTTTGTACCAATGGTCATGGTCTTTGGCTCCACTTCAGAGTCTGGTGTGATGTTTTCTGGATAACTGAAATGGAAAGAAAACGTAGAGCTCTTTAGAAAAGCAACATCTGTTATGTCAAAATGGGGAAATTTGGGTGTGAAAGAGGCAAGAAAAAAGAAGAAACTAGAATAAAGTGCAATTATTAATAGAGAGGTTATATTCATAATGTACAAATGGTAGCATCTGAGAGATTAAATGATTATTTTGTCAGCACTTGTTTAGTTTATAGGAAGAAGCAGAGATCATAAAGTTCAACAGCAGCTGGGAGGGAGGATCTGTGGCAGCGTTCCTTAGAGCCGGCATCCTCAGTCCTCAAGGCCCGCTGTCCTGCAGGTTTTAGAGGTTTCCCTGCTTTAGCACTGCTGATTATAATGATTGCAGTAGACCAAAAGCCTGTTAATCAGCTTTCAATTAAAATCAGCTGTGCTGGAGCAAGGAAACCTCTAAAACCTGCAGGACAGAGGGCCTTGAGGACAGAGGTTGGGGATGCCTGCCTTAGAGCATCTAGGATGCAGCACTTTGTCAGTGAAAGAGCTCTCCTACAGCTTTGTCCAGGAGATCTAGAACAGTGCTGGCCCTCTTGACCAGCTCATCCTAATGCTTCCTCTCAGCTAGATATGAAACAGTCTTAACATGACAGAAAAAAGAAAAAAAAATTGAGACAAAGCTTCATCCATATTGAAATCTAACTAGTGAAATACCAGTAAACTGCATCAACTCCTCACCTGTTATGGATCAGAGCTTGTTCTTCGATCAGGTTGCCTTCTCCAATCACAATAGGCCCTGCCTCTGCAATAATCCGAGCTTTTGGGTGAACCACTGTTCTAGGGCCTCAAATAAGAAGAAAACATACAGTGAATACATGTTAAATATCATTCCGATTTCTTAGATGGTGTCTTTTCTGTACTGTGATCGATGCAGAACATCTTACCAATAGTAACATCTCCTCTGATCTCGCTTTCAACACAGACTACAGCCCCAGCAGCGATTTTGACACTGAGAACAGAGCAGTAGGAACCGATTAACAATGCTAGCTTAGGATGCTAACTAGATACTTCTGTTGACATGTTTTAAAGAAGGGATAAAACTACTTCCCCGTCACTGTTTCATAGCTATTTAAAAAAAAAAAAAAAGCAATTAACTTATTGGTTAAACCGACGTAAACATGTGTTTACATTACCTTTTCTGTGTGTTTAATTTCTCTGCCATGGCAGGAGCTATTCTAATGGGAGGTGGCGTTGAATCACTCTGCTATCGATTAGAAAGACTTTTTTTTTTTTTTTTTTTAACCCTCTGCGCATGCGTTCTCTTCTTCTTCTTGAAATTTTTATGGCAAAAATGTTAGGTGAGCATTACCGCCACCAATTGGTAATAGTCTTTTAGCAAATGAGAACATGTAAACACATTTCAGGAAAACAAACCAAGGCGTTTTTTTTTTCTCGGAGATACTTTTGTAAATCAGAATTATGTTTGAAATTAAATAGACTAATAAAAGTTACCTTTTCAACAATGTTAAACAGGTCTTTTCAGGGAAGAGGTCGATAATTTTTGAATGACCTATGTAGAGGAAAATCATTTCAAAAGATAGAAAATTCATTCGAAATTGAGTCAATGTCTTAAAGTTATTAATATACCATTTAAAGTTCAAAGTGTGTTTAAAAGTTCAATGGTATACATGAAGATTTAGATTAGGCAGTAGACTTTGGAAATATTTCTCAGTTTTGCCCTATTTATTATTACATTTATATTCTTATTAATCTCCAGTGTTCTCCAGGTCTTTATATTCTTGTTTTCATTTTCTTTTAGACATGTAGAACTAATTGGGGTTAGTCAAATTACTAGAATGTCAATGTCCCATTTTATACATTTGTTTTATCTAAAGTTCATGAGCTGCATAATTGACTTGGGATGGTGTTACCCAAGATGTGCAGCATATGCTATAATGTCTGAATGAACCGTTTCCTTAAAAATTATAAACTGCTCTGCCTCTTTTTTTGTAGATGACGTCATAATTGTGTCTCTAGTTGAATTTGTTGTACGGGTGAACCTCAAATTATATTAAACAATTTCCATAAAGCTATTTATTTTATATAAAATGTCATCTATATTTTACGGTTGTACTTGTTTCATTAAATAAAAATAAATAAAAAAAATCAGGCAGTTCAGATTGGTGGGAAATTGTTTTCCATATCTTAATTTTATTTAGAACAGAATTTTAAATCAGAGATGGTCCTTTGCACACCACAAAAAATGATTAGGACTACCGGTATTTACGTTCACATTTTGTGTTTTTACCCTATATCCTGTTTGTTTTTTTTGTTTTTTTAATGAATGTCTGTTTGTTTTCACTGTCTGTTGAATGGTTGCTTTAAAGTACAACTATGCATGCAGCGATATTTTTTTTTAACTGATATGGTGTCTTTAAATAGAAGTTTGCTTAAATGCATCCAGGTATTTCATGAAAGGTCTACTTGAAAGCACTGCCTTGAGGTGCATTGGCATTTGAATGCAATGTAAAAAAAAAAAATAAATCCAAGTTAATTTTTCCTAAAATAAGAGAATTTTTCCTGAATAAAGCTGGTAATTGAGACACTTTGCAATTGGAATAAGATAATTTACATTTAAATTAATTAAAAAAAAAAAAACTGCAGTGTCTTATTTCAAGTTCATAATATCTAATGATCTTATTTTAATGGTTAAAAAAAACAAAACTCATTCCATTGGCATCTTATTTAGCTACTCCAAATAGGGATAAAGGTAAAGTTTTATGAATTTTTAGATTGTTATTTCTAGTGTGGGGTCGCTCGAATGGATAGTAAAGTAGATATTTAAGCGCAAAACAACAGTTTAAAATTCTAATCATAAAAAGAAATTGACAAACCAATCTAAAATTGCATTTTCTGTATTTCCCTGAAAAATCACTCTCATGTCGTTAGTCTAATGTTCCAAATGTACAATAAGTATACACGTTTGTAATTAGAGGAGGTAGTGGTGATTGTTTGCCACTCCAAACATCCAATTAAAGTTCCAATTAAGCCACCACTAAGGCACTGGGGCCAAGTTTCTATATGCAGGAAAAAATAAGTTCCAATGTTCAGTCTTAATGATGGTTTTGGATGGTTTATTTTCTATTTTTGCCAACAATTAAAGAGGACAAACTTTTTATTTTGTCCTACCTCTCTTGCACTGGTAAAAACCATAAGCCCCCAAACCCCAAAATGCCTGCTGGTCCTTTCCCAGGCCCCTACACTTACAGAAAGTGGACTGATCCACATAACTTCCTGTCATACCTCAGAACAAAAAATAAATAAG